CTAATGCTTCTTTACCCTGCAGTGCTTCCAGCAAACCCATGCAGCGGTGCGACATTACGATAATTGGCGAATTTCTCAGATACTATAAGAGAACTACAGTAATAAAATTAAATTCAACAACCCATGCAGCAATAACGTTATCGCGACTGGTGCTTGGAAGGATCACGGGATAGCAGCTTCGCAGCACCAGTTGCATTTGCGAGTCAGGAGCACTGACCTTCCTGGTTGGTGCTCATCTTTGCGGTCAACCGCGCTGCGAGATGAGCGAAGGCTGCGTTCTGTTGGCGCATAGCCTGTGCGTAACCCTAACGAAGAATATACGAGGAACTTGCGCGACAAGGCTTGGGACCGGAGGGAATCGTTAGTGTGACCCGAACCTCTGCTGCGGAAGTTGTGCGCGCATTACTCGTGCGTGCGCAAAAACGCTGTACTGCCTAAGCGCTCGGAATATTCTAGGACCTTGCGTTCACAGGCAAACTTCCTGCACAGCCTGTGCGAGTCCCATCCGCTCGTCTCCCAGCGTTAAAGGGGCGCACAAGCTGTGCGGGGCAGCTGCAAACGCCCGGGAAAAGTACGACTTCGGCTATTTTTTAACCCAGCGGTTACCACCCAACGGTTGTCACCCAATCGGGTGCACAAATTGGGTTGTAAGGTGCCTGTCGATTGCGTGTTCGTTTGTAGCCATTCGTTGTGTGCCAAAAAAGGTCAGCGCTGTTGCTGTCAAATATTTTGGGCCTGCCCCCGGGTAAACACCCTGGTGCCTGCCCCGCAGATACCTCGCGCCTGGGTCATAACTTCGTGGTAGTTTTGGGGGGTACTCTCCTGCGCAGAAGCCTCCGAGCGCACAACTTGCGCGTCGTGCGCGCATAACTAATGCGCCAACAGAACGCAGCCAAGCGTCCTTCCTTGCACCTCGGAAATGCTGGAGCCTGGAAGCTCCAAACCACGCGCACATGCGCGCCTCGAGAAACCAATCTTCGTGGCTGAGCATAAAACTGTGTTTGGGACTCCAAAAATCCCACTCATTCACTGATGGCGATGTCAGGTTCTACGTCTCGTGCATTTTCAGTTCTTGAATCGTGGCTCAGGACGGTTTCACACGGTGAGAAGCGGTTCTCAAGGTGTGTCGTTTTGCGCCGTGATGAAACTAAGTTGGCTGCAGGGAGCTTACTGAAGTTGTGCAACCTGACATCGCCTTCAACAGAATCAGAGCAAGAGAACAGACAACCATGCTGGGTTGATCGGTGCTGAATTCAACCTATCACTTTAATCTTAAAAAAGCGTGAACATGAATCTACGACGAAAAAGAAAAAGAAAAAGAAGCGGTTATTACCACTACTCTAAATTGATATTTCTTCGAATCATTACTCATTCGAGTAGCTTTCCCTCTCGGTCCCTCTTTGGTGACTTCCTGCCTTTCGACCGCGACCCAGGTGGTGAATCAACAGAACCACCTCCACCCGACATTGTCGCTCCTTCACCAGCGCTCTGGTTTTGCTTTTCCGTGCTTCCAACCTCTGGCTGTGTGAATGATCCATGAGAGGTGGTGGTTGGCGCGGACTGAGTGAAGGGCATGGATGATGGAAAAGACACGAAGGGGACGGACTGGAAGATAGGAGGAGATGCAAGGTTAGCGAACAGGAGGGAGGCCAGGTTGGATGGTTCTGTTGTCGTGTGCATGTGAGGCAACTGAGGCATGTGCGACACTTGCTGCAGCGCTTCGGCGACTTCCTTGTCAAGCTGCTCCTGCGGAGTGGAGAACTGCACCCCTGGCAGAAGAGCAACTGATGCGGTTTCATAGCCCGCTTGAGAGCCAGCAACTCCCGACGGCCCATCGTTCTGCGTGGGTGTAGACCACCAAGCCGCATCCTGGGTCACATCCACTTGATGGGACACGTCATGTGGAGCCCACGTCATCGCGTCATGACTCACATGTTCCGTGACATCCGGATTATCATCTGCCAGCAGAAGCGCTTCCAAGGACGCGATGGTGTGAGCCGATGGCACTCGTGCCACCGGCGCTGACCCATGGAAACTCCAGGTCGGTGGGTTTTCGCTGCTGCCACTTGCAGTGATCGCAAGTTGCGGCTGAGCGTTCGCATTTCGTGGTTCCGTTGAGAAGAGTCCACTGTCAGGAGCGCTCCCTCCGTCACTGTCCATCCTCATCCAAATGTTACTAGCCTCCCCCGCACTTTTCACTACACTGATTCTCCCGTCGTCTCCGGAGAATGTACCCTCCTCGCTGTGCCTGCCGACGATGTCAGAGCTCGCGGTAGTAACCCGCGTCACGAGTCTGCTACTACCATGCAGTAGATCCGCGTCATTGGGTCCCTCGCCAGATGCTACAGGCGCCGCATTCATCCCATGATCACTCTCCTCGGCAGCGGTGACGTCATCCTCCGCAGATTCCGCATCCACACCGTCATCGAGGGAGTCCGAAGCGGGCCACGACTTGGCGGACGCGAGTTCCTGCGGGGACGAAGGCAAAGACATCGACTTGACGTGGTGCGATGATGTAAGTCCCTTCCTCAGACTGCCCAGCTTGCTTCGCTTCGCCGCGTCGCCCTGAAACGGGATCGCGTCGCGTTTGTAGAGGCGAATTACCACCCACGTCGACGTCCCTTGCTGCTGCTGCTGTAGTAGCTGTTGCTGCTGCTTCTGTCGCTGTGTTGCGGGGCTGGGAACCCCCGCTCGTCCCGACGCTACTCTCCTACCACCCTCACTTGACTTGCCACTAACGGCGCCACCATGCGAATCTTCCTCAACAGTGCTACCGATCAGCGAGTCCGGGTCGTCACTAGGTTCTACGAGCCGGTACTCGTGCATCACCCAAGCCGTCTTCTCCCCCCGCGGCGCCCTGCCTTTGTAGAATACGTGGCCCTTCTTATACCCGACAATGCGGCCGCTTTTGGCATCTTTAACCGACTCGCCCTCCTCCCGGCCGCCTTGGGTTTCGTTTCCCTCCTTGCGCGAGGCGTACACGGGCCGATCTTTCCCCGTGGCCTTCCAGTAGCCGGATGATGTCATCCGATTGGCGCGCGTGCCCATGAGGTACTTTCTGTCGCGCGACGCGAAGAAAAACCACTCATCGCTACCATTAAGCGACACCATCGCCTTTCCCGGAAGCTCCCATGGCTCAAATCCGTACATGTCAATGTCGCCGATCGCGTTCAGCGGGATGGGCTGGTTGCCGATTTTGCGGGGTAGGTAGAAGGAGAGGAGCTCCTCATCTGTGGGATGGAACCTGAATCCAGGGGGAAGCGAGCTCTCGCTGTCTTCATTTGCGGGCGCGCCTGCGAAGGACATTCCGACGTCAAGGCTCGTTAGAACGAGCAAGTGTGCTTTGTCTGATTTTTGCTAATTCACGGCTTTTCGCTCAGCGGGTTCACGGAGGAAGCGGGGATAAGGAACGTGAAGGGAGATGGCGGCTTGTGTTTCAGCCGTAACTGTTGAACTACGAAATTCGATGCTTGGGCCATTTGTAGGATCTCGAAGATTTCGAGCCGCGCATTCTCCAGACAACGAGCCGCGCGATGTGGCAAACGCGGTTTCCAACGCGGTTGTACAGTTCCTGATGCCGCGTACTAATGATTCGGGCAACAGTGTCACCGTCAGAGATCTTGCTGCGCCACCGAATTACTGTACAACAGCTCACGCGGTTGTCACATTACCACACAATGAAGTCTTCGCCAAACTCGTCATATTTCGTTTTAATTTGTAACTATGTCACAATGTACACGTAGGATCAAGTTGCCAGCAAGGCGGGGAGAATCAAGATTGTACCACCATTCTTCACCTATGTTCAAATTCTTAGGCGTGAAGTGCAGAGAAGTGCCAATAACGAGTACAGTTGCCGCTGAACAAGCATCTGATGGGAAGGTGAATGCGGTAGGTAAATCAGTCACCTCTGTCCGCGTTACTGTCAGGCCTCTTTCGTGCGACAGGTCACTCAAATAAGTTACCTTCGAAACACAACTGAGTGATATTACGGCGCCTGGACTTATCTCAATTCAGCCCTGCGAAGGATGCCCGTACAGCGTTGGTACTGACTAAGGAGCAGAGCAGCACCACCACCTCCACCACCAACTAGTTTCAGTTCAAGTACGCCTATTTTCTGCGCCAGCTTTGCTTCCGTGAATTGCGCTCCGATCTCGCATCTGCTGCCAGGAGCTATGGTGTACCAAAGATAATATTGCTGAGGCCAGCGGCTGCTATTCAAGCTGCGCCAATGCGTTCCCAATGCCTAGAGGTCTTTATTCAAATGTCGGACCTTGGCCAAAGCTACTGTAGCTCTCCTTCGACATTTTACATGTTTATATATTGCTAAATCCGTTATTCCTTTCATACGCTGGCCTTCTTCGTTTTGTTTCCGAACGACCTAAAAAAATAAGCACTCCGTGCACACGTTAGCACCATCAATGTCATCGTCATCATGGCATCGCGGCCATCAGAACCTTCTGCGAAGGCCGCTGCACGCGCGGTCCGCGACGCCGACGTCGCTATCGGCGTTTAACTACGCGACCGCGCAGATAAAGCCGTGGCACATCCTGTGCGTGCTGGGCCTCGCCACGCAGCTCTACATCTTCCGCCAGTACGAGCTCGGTTGCAAGTGCCGCCACGACGCGTACGCGTTACAGTACGGTTCCAACGCCGCCGGCGCGCAGCAGGGCTCGTACGGTTCTGCCGTTACATCTCAGCAGGGGGCCAATGACGCGAACGGATGGCGGGGTGATGGAATAGGAGGGGGGATTCCGCACCGCGGGCAGCTGGAGATTTCCTGGCAGAACGGGCAGGAATTGAATTCCCAGCAAAACTACCAGCAGCAGCAGCGGCAGAGTCAGCAACAGGAGGAGCAACGACAGCCGTTTCAACAACAGCAGCACCAGCAGCAGGCAGTGGGGCAGGAGGAGCGGGAGCAGCATCAGCAAGAGCAGGCCGATCAGTTGACCAATCCGGGCGATCCACGTCAGCAGCAACGGAACGAGCACAAGTCATCCCAAATGGAGCCCCAGCCGCGAAGTTTCAACGGGTATGTGCACAATACACCCCGATTCTTAGTAAACAAGGGCAATTTTTCAGAGAATGTCACTTAATTGGGGAGTGTTGGCCTCCATAGTCTTCGCCCTGGTTTGTTTCCTCCTCCCTTCCGTCTTTCATTCTCCTCCCGGCGGACCCTGGTTGACCCAGTCCATCTGTCATTCTGACTCTGGCTGCCCCTTGACTCGCTTCACGTCAAGGGGTCTCACTCCCGTTGACTCGAGTCAAAGAGGCCTGCAGCTGCCCCCTACCCCCAGGGGAGTTTCACTTTCGAGCCTCTTTCCCCTGCACTTGTTCCACATCACGACTCCCTTGTGTAAAAAGTGATTTTTTTGAGACGTCTAATAAAATCACTTTTTACGCGTGCCCCCAACCCCCACCGGAGTTTCACTTTCGAGCCTCTTTCCCCGGCACTTGTCCACATCACGACTCCCTTGTTGCGAAGTACAGAGGTTGGATGCACACACAGCAGGGAATTCTGAATCCTGCGCGAGCTGCTGTCTTGTCTTATCCATGCCGCCCCCCTATGCTGTTCCTTGCTTCATCACTCTAGCCACGTTTCTCACATCATGGTGGCTCACATGAACCGTATGAGTGAGTGTTAAATTAATATTAGAATATCCCATTACGAACAACACCCTTCACTGCTCCCCCTCCCTTCCCCGTCCCTTTACTACCACATAGATGAGTCTGAGGCCGCACCTGCCACCTGGTTCAGCTTAATTCTCAAGCTGCCCCTTGATGGGTCAGCAACTCCTTGATGAAACTTGATCCTGGTTCAGCTTAATTCTCAACACACCAGCTGGATGAGTGCCCCTCACATACCTTCCTTGCAGCAGCACCCCAAAACCCGAAAGCTTTTGTTTCCATTCCCACTGCCATATCCACCTTTCCGGATGCTCCTGGCAGGATGGATGAGTCACACAGCTGCATCTGGTGCGGCACGAGGCATGCAAGCTTGCTTGACATGCTTTGCAATATTGGAAACCCGGAACCTCTTGTTCTCATCCGTACCGCTCCCTTGAGCAGTGTGGATGAATGCGTCTCAGCGGCATCTGGTGCGCCATGACCATGCAAGCTGGAGAAGCGGCGTAGGATGGTAAAACCGCAACACCTTCTGTTGTCCTGCTCACGTCCTCCTAACAGAGTGGACGAGTCTCAGCTGCATCTGGTGCGGCACGAGACATGGAAGCTGGAGCAGCGGTGAAGAATGGATTAGCATTACTCACCATTCTCGTTCAACATCTTCCCCGCCCGCCCATGTCCTCCTAATGCCCATGTCCTCCTACCAGAGTGGACGAGTCTCAGCTGCATCTCGTGCGGCACGACACGTGCAAGCTGGAGAAGGTGGGGGGGCGAGGGGGGGACGACTACGGTGCGTGGAGCCTCTGCACCAATCACGTGCGGCCAGGTGGCGTCGTGTACTCGTTTGGCATCGGCGCTGACGTGTCCTTTGACAACGGGATGGTCAACCGCGGGCATAAGGTGCATGCTTTTCTCATAGCTTGTCCCTTATCTGTTGTGTTTTACGGAATGTAAAGTGGGGGGAGCGTGGGGCGTAAGGTATGTGCTTGTCTCGTAGCTCGTAAGGTATGTGTTTTCGTGGCCTGTGCTGCACGTACATTGGAGCCGCTTCAAGCTTTATCTCCTGCTTTTGATGGTCGAGGTTGTTTGGTTGGTACTAGCCACATGCACCACGTGGTTGGTACTAGCCACATGCACCACGTGATTGGCATGGCATGGCGGAGAGCAGCACTCGCTGCAGGTCTTTCCATTCTGTAAACTGTGAGGATGGGGGGAGACTTCTGAGTCGACTCAAAAGTCTTCTCTCCATTCTGCAAACTGTGAGGATGGGGGGTGAGCGAGTGGCACGATGAAGGAGGGGTAGCAGGCATGGCATGGCATGGCATGGCATGGCATGGCATGGCATGGCATGGCATAGCATGGCATGGCATCGCATGGCACAGTGGCATATTAGGTTCTCTCGCCTCTTGTTCCCACCTTATACGTCATTGTTTTCGAGTCTGCCGTCTATTTCACCCCCACCCTGTCTGATTCTATCCCGAACAAGTTATGGTCCTATGTTTGGCAGCCAAGCCCGATTTCCTTTCTTTCATTGTCCTTTCCAGTTTCCAACTTTGCATTTGCCGTTATTGCTGCTGCAGTCCCCCGTCCCTCTCTCCCTCCTCTCACGTCTCCACCTCCCCTTCCTTCAAGCCCTCGCCTGCAAAAGAAGCCACGGGAGCACGTGCATATGCGTCGCGTGTTCTGTGGCAAGGCAACAGCCGTTGCCACTGTTACTGCACCTGATGTCGTCCCTCAATCCACACCTGCCTTGTTGCTCACCTCTCCTCTCCCCCCCCTCTCTCTTCCCCTCGCTCCTCCCCCTCACCTCTGTCCTCATCTCTCCGTCATGTTGGAGCACTGTTCTCGCAGGGACCACCACCGCAGCCATGATTGTCACACCATCTCTATGTCTCTCCCTCTCTCCTCCTCTCGGTATTGGATTTCGACCCCACTGTGTGTCCCCTGAGCGCGTGTAAGCCATGTTCAGGCAACGCGACCACCAGAGGACAGGTACCACCAGAGGACAGGTACCACCACAGGACAGGTACCACCACAGGACAGGTACCACCACAGGACAGGTACCACCACAGGACAGGTACCACCACAGGACAGGTACCACCACAGGACAGGTAGAAGGTACAAGTTGCACGCTGCCGTCCCATGGAAGTCGAACTCTGGCTACTTTGCCCTTCTCATACCATCTCTCGTTCTTCTCATGCTCTCCCCCATCTCTCCTCCAGGTCTTCGGATTCGACCCCACAATTTCCGCGCACGTGTCAGCCACGTTCAAAGGCCGACCGCCACAGCACGCCGCCAGGATTGGCACTCCGCCTTCCAATCCCATTCTCACACCGTCTCTCTTATTTCTCGTCCTTCCTCCCACTCTTCTTGAGGAATTCGAATTCGTCCCCAGTCCTGTAGGAGCGCATGTGCAAGCCATGTTGAGGGACCACCAAAACTCCCCCCCCTTATTTTTCCCTTCTCACACCGGCCTCTCTTCCTGCGTCCCTCTCTTCTCGTTCTCTCCCCCGTCTCTCTCCCAGGTGTTCGGATTCAACCCCACAGTTCCCCGGAGCGCGTGCAAGCCATGTTCAAGGACCACCACAATCGAGAAAAGCTGGGGTTTACAGGCCGTGTTCCAATTCCATTCGCACTCCATGTCTCTCTCTTCCAATTCTCTCCCCAAAATGTTCTGCAGGTGTTCGGATTCGACCCCACAGTTCCCCCCGAGCGCGTGCAAGCCATGTTCAAGGACCACCACAGTCGCGATCAGCCGGCCGCCTTCCAGTTCCGTCAACTCGGCCTGGCCGGCACGGACGGCATCGTCACCTTCTTCCACTCCAAGAACCCGCGCGTGCAGTCCATGACGGCCGTCAAACCAGAAAAACTTGCCGGCCGGTTCGAAAGCCAGGGGATGCCGGCGCCGGTGCTGCGATTGCCAACGTTTATGTGCGGGAACGGGCACGGATTCGTGGATGTGTTGAAAATGGACGTGGAGGGGGTGGAGTTCGACGTGTGCGACGCGTGGCTTCGCATGAAAACGCCACTGCCGTTCGGTCAGATCTTGATTGAGTTTCACGATCGCATGGTGATGGATGCGAAGGCGCGCAAGGGTGCGTGCCTGCGCGCGCTGCAGCGGAACGGGTTTGTGGAGGTGTATGTGAGCGACAACTTTCAAGAAGCCACGTACGCTCGCATGGCGCCTAAGGGATGAGATTATTTCTCGGGTTTTGGGAACTTGCATATCTCCGTGTGATCAGGTCGTAATTCCTCCTAACCTCGAATGTAGTGGGATATCAGCAGCCAGCACAATATGAACGTTGGTGATTGGTGTTTTGATTCCAGTACACCCAGCAAAGTTCAGTATTGGAACGTGTATGATAATGCAGCGTATGATAATCATCATCCACTTCCCGTCCAGCAAGGCCTTTCTTGTCTTCTAATCTTCGTCTTGTGCTGTGACAGCAGGTGAATGCTCCTTGACATACAACTCCAGTGCATACGGCACTATCACCGGTACTATCACCGAGCACAAGTCACATGAAGTGGTCTATTTCACTCACAAAGAGGTACCAAGTCAAACAAGCAAACCCAAACGCAATACGAAATGTACACACACGCACACCAAATACAATCTCTCCTCGATTCGACAACCATCCCGCCAACGGGACAAAAGTGGAGATCAAGTTACCACGACCACACATGCTGGAGCCTTTGGCGTCGGCTTGCCATCGAGTGTCATGTACCGCAGCTGGCAAGTTCACAATGCACTTCAATTGTGGCCGACTTTAATGGGGATACCCATGCTGCATGTTGCATTGCAACCGGGCCCAATACCAATAAATCAGCATTTACCACCCATTGTCTCTCTGTTAAAACCCAAGTCGTTTCTCCCTGCACTTCCTTTCCAAAAAGCGCAAAGAGGCATGTCAGATGATAAGCTGCACGGCCTGCACCACGAGGTAGAGCAGAGCAATGAAGAAGGCCGCCTGGTACAGGTCCTTGTTGGGGTCGCCCTGCTGGATGAACTGCCACGGGGGCCGGAGGGGGGGTGGGAGGATGGTGGGGGGAGTTGATTATAGGAGTGGATACGGGGAAAGTGGCACAGAACAACAGAAAGCTGTCTGGTAGAGGACTGCAGAGAGGGGTGAGGGGAGTAGGGGAAGCGGGGGGGGAGGGGGGGTTCAATAGGAGGAGCGGATGAGGGGAAAGAAGAGGCACAGAAGAAGTGAAAAAGAGCAGATACGCATGCATGGATGCGGACATCGCCTGGTTCAGCCCACGTTGGGGTCCAAGGAGACCTGCTGCTGGATGAACGGCAATTGGGGAGGGGTGATGGTGGGGTGGTGGTGGGGTGGTGGTGGGGCGATAGGAGTGGACAACCATAAAAAAGACAAGGATGAAGAAGACTGCTGTGCCTCTTTCCAACAGGGTTCAGGCCCCCGTTGGAATCGGGAACAGCTGCTGTTTTGAGACGACTCAAAACTAGCTTGGCGCAGCCTTGAGTCAACTCAAAACAGGGTTCAGGCCCCCGTTGGGATTGGGAACAGCTGCTGCTGCTGCTGTTGCTGGACGAACAGCGGTTGGTTGGGATGATGAGGGGTGGGGGATGGTGAACGACGGGGATGACAAAGGGGGCTGGAGAGAGCATTTTGGAATGGCTACAATACTACGGTTAGGAGGGCAGCAATGGGGTTAAGCCGGCTGTGGTTAATGACGTCATGACTTTGCAAGGCAGCTGTGATAATGACGTGGTTTTGAGAAGTCTCAAAACCAGAGCGCGGCATGGTAGAAAAGTGTTGGCTGGGACAAGGGCGAAGGGTGAGGTTGATGGAAATGGCAGAGGTGGTGATGATAGGATGATGTGGGTGGTGGGATGATGTGAGGATAGCAAAACTGCTGCTGCTCGGCTGTTGATGTGCATGCATTACAGAAAGTATCACAACTGGCTCTCATCCCCACTTCCCTCATCCCGCCTCCCCACTTCCCTCATCCCTCCTCCCCACTTCCCTCATCCCTCCTCCCCACTTCCCTCATCCCTCCTCCCCACTTCCCTCATCCCTCCTCCCCACTTCCCTCATCCCTCCTCCCCACTTCCCTCATCCCTCCTCCCCACTTCCCTCATCCCTCCTCCCCACTTCCCTCATCCCTCCTCCCCACTTCCCTCATCCCTCCTCCCCACTTCCCTCATCCCTCCTCCCCACTTCCCTCATCCCTCCTCCCCACTTCCCTCATCCCTCCTCCCCACTTCCCTCATCCCTCCTCCCCACTTCCCTCATCCCTCCTCCCCACTTCCCTCATCCCTCCTCCCCACTTCCCTCATCCCTCCTCCCCACTTCCCTCATCCCTCCTCCCCACTTCCCTCATCCCTCCTCCCCACTTCCCTCATCCCTCCTCCCCACTTCCCTCATCCCTCCTCCCCACTTCCCTCATCCCTCCTCCCCACTTCCCTCATCCCTCCTCCCCACTTCCCTCATCCCTCCTCCCCACTTCCCTCATCCCTCCTCCCCACTTCCCTCATCCCTCCTCCCCACTTCCCTCATCCCTCCTCCCACTTCCCTCATCCCTCCTCCCCACTTCCCTCATCCCTCCTCCCCACTTCCCTCATCCCTCCTCCCCACTTCCCTCATCCCTCCTCCCCACTTCCCTCATCCCTCCTCCCCACTTCCCTCATCCCTCCTCCCCACTTCCCTCATCCCTCCTCCCCACTTCCCTCATCCCTCCTCCCCACTTCCCTCATCCCTCCTCCCCACTTCCCTCATCCCTCCTCCCCACTTCCCTCATCCCTCCTCCCCACTTCCCTCATCCCTCCTCCCCACTTCCCTCATCCCTCCTCCCCACTTCCCTCATCCCTCCTCCCCACTTCCCTCATCCCTCCTCCCCACTTCCCTCATCCCTCCTCCCCACTTCCCTCATCCCTCCTCCCCACTTCCCTCATCCCTCCTCCCCACTTCCCTCATCCCTCCTCCCCACTTCCCTCATCCCTCCTCCCCACTTCCCTCATCCCTCCTCCCCACTTCCCTCATCCCTCCTCCCCACTTCCCTCATCCCTCCTCCCCACTTCCCTCATCCCTCCTCCCCACTTCCCTCATCCCTCCTCCCCACTTCCCTCATCCCTCCTCCCCACTTCCCTCATCCCTCCTCCCCACTTCCCTCATCCCTCCTCCCCACTTCCCTCATCCCTCCTCCCCACTTCCCTCATCCCTCCTCCCCACTTCCCTCATCCCTCCTCCCCACTTCCCTCATCCCTCCTCCCCACTTCCCTCATCCCTCCTCCCCACTTCCCTCATCCCTCCTCCCCACTTCCCTCATCCCTCCTCCCCACTTCCCTCATCCCTCCTCCCCACTTCCCTCATCCCTCCTCCCCACTTCCCTCATCCCTCCTCCCCACTTCCCTCATCCCTCCTCCCCACTTCCCTCATCCCTCCTCCCACTTCCCTCATCCCTCCTCCCCACTTCCCTCATCCCTCCTCCCCACTTCCCTCATCCCTCCTCCCCACTTCCCTCATCCCTCCTCCCCACTTCCCTCATCCCTCCTCCCCACTTCCCTCATCCCTCCTCCCACTTCCCTCATCCCTCCTCCCCACTTCCCTCGTCCCTCCTCCCCGCTTCCTTCACTCGCCCCTCCCCCTCACCACTCCCCTCATCCCTCCCCGCTACCACTCCCCTCATCCCTCCTCCCCAATTCCACGCATCCCTCCTCCTCCTCACTTCCTCACACGGACGCACAACAACTACTTAATCGCCCAGCCCTCCTTCGCCCTCGCCCCTTCCCATCCCATTCCACACAGCCGTGCACACACCACCACCACAGGCACGTGCACACACCACCACCACAGGCACGTGCACACACCACCACCACAGGCACGTGCACACACCACCACCACAGGCACGTGCACACACCACCACCACAGGCACGTGCACACACCACCACCACAGGCACGTGCACACACCACCACCACAGGCACGTGCACACACCACCACCACAGGCACGTGCACACACCACCACCACAGGCACGTGCACACACCACCACCACAGGCACGTGCACACACCACCACCACAGGCACGTGCACACACCACCACCACAGGCACGTGCACACACCACCACCACAGGCACGTGCACACACCACCACCACAGGCACGTGCACACACCACCACCACAGGCACGTGCACACACCACCACCACAGGCACGTGCACACACCACCACCACAGGCACGTGCACACACCACCACCACAGGCACGTGCACACACCACCACCACAGCACACACGCGCGGACAACACCGCTGCCCGTCACCTACTCGTCTAGGGTCGCCGGACGGGTGCGGATAAATATAATTCGAGTCCCCGCCTCCGCTCTTGCTCCCCTCCCCGGACTTCTCCGTTACGTCTTTAATCGCCTCTGATGTGGACCACGCGAGCCGCGACGCCCAGAACGCCAGCTGGATGGGCAGCGCTGAGCTGGCGACGTTCCATTGGTCGCGGTGGTTGATGACCTGGCCGCTGATCTGGTTGAGCGTGAACGTTGACGTCACGCGCGCGTCCAGCAGCCCGCCCGGAATGACGAGGTACCCGCGAAGCTGCCAGGTGATCACGAGGACGCTCGTTGACTCCATCGACATTCCCAGCATGTGCTGCCATGGGGGAGGTCGGGGATGGGCGGGGGAAAGGGGGGAGGGGCGGGGAGGAGGGCGGGGGGGGGGGGGGGGGGGGGGGGGCGGGGGGGGGGGGCGGGGGGGAAGTCAAGACGGGGGTGTGCTCGTGGACTCCATTGGCATTCCCATTCCCCGCATGTGCTGGCAGGGAGCGGGTGTGAGTAAAACGGAGGTGGGTGGGGGAGGGGAAAGGGCGGGCGGGAAAGGGGGGAGGGGGGGTGGAGGGGAGACGGGGGGGCGGTGGAGGGATGGGGGAGACGATGATGGAAAGAGAAAGGATGAAGGGGAGAAGGGGGATAGTCGAGTTGTGACCTGCTTTGTCGTTACGAATCGCAATAGACGACCCTCAAGTGAGACCCTAGTGCTGCTAGCCTGGTTGTCATTCCCGTGTTTTGAGACGTCCCAAGACTAGGTTATTTGCTTTCAAGAACCCCAAGCCTAGTGACTAAGTGACTAGGTTGATAGGTAATTAAGTGTCTAACACATTCTTGACCATCATGCCACATAAGTCGGAATAAGAGTACTATGGAAGAAGCAAGAGATGAGAATACGAAGCGCGCCGCTGCCGAGCCTGCTATGCTCACCACTGAGGAGTTCTGAAGCGCGCTGCGGATCCACGAAAGGCGGCGGTATTTGTCGCGACCCGTGAAGGACCGAATCGAGTCCTGTGAGAACAACGACGGGAACAGATACGAAGAGCAGGAAACATGGGACTTCAGGATTCGTACACGTGCCTCAAACCGTGCCAGGGGGAAATCCGTCGATGCTAATCTGAAAACGTGTTCACAGACGCGGCTTATCTCAAACTGTTCTTGATGATCCGATATCAAACTAGCCGTGCGGCATTCTCGCCGCGTCCTCGATCATCTCGGCGTGCGACTCGTGTGTCTTTCTTAACTGCTAGCTGTACAGATTTTTTTTAGCGCGCGTAGGGTTCGCCTTACCGAGTATTTTGAATCGATGGCGAAACACGAGAGCGTTCGCTTGTCTTCGCGCATGTCGTGAATGTCTCTCGCCAGCTGTTTCGCCGTTCGCTCAACGGCGGGGCTGCTCACGCACTCGAAGTCGTCGCACAGCTCTGCGAAAGTCATCCCTCGCACCAACGTCGCCACCTCCTCGTCCTCGTCACTCTCCTCCCCGCTCCCGCCGCCGCCGCCGCTGGCGGAGCCTCCGTCCACTGCGTCTTTCGTCGCCACGTGGCGTCTGGTGATTGGTCTTTTCGCCGCTTGACAGATGGTGCGAGGGGGGAGCGGGACGGAGAGCGGGGACGAGGCGTGCCGGTGCGACAGCGCGGAAGGTTCGGAGAAAGGAGCTCTGTTGCTGTCTGAATGGTGGATGGCAGCAGAGACGCAGAGGCGCGGGGGGAAACCCGAAACTGCGCCGAGATTCGGTGACACTAACGAAGGCGCTCGTAACGGGGATAACACTAGGGACGACAATGCCGTCGGCGTGGAAACACGAAGCGTGTCCATGGCCCCTGTCCTTCCGGCACAACGTCTCACGGTCTAGATCAACAATGGCGGTGCAGACTAGTCCGAACTGAAATATGAAATGGCAAAAAGGAGTAAACTGGAGAACAGGCAGTCTGAATACAAACAGGTATGCCAAGAAAATTATAAGAGGCTCTTGCTATGAGACGACACGACACAACTCAGCTCCTCTTTACCGTTGGTTGGTTGTTCAGTATCAGGCAAGCAACAACAGAACAAACTTTGTGATCTTACGGTTGAGTACGGTGAGACGTGTTGCGCATAAATAATTGGTACTTTTCCACGCGTTACGCTACGGTGCTTTCAGCACTAGGTGTTCTCTTTGGTATGGCGCGGCACGTGCGATTGGGAAAGTGGGTGAAGCTACTCTTGCTGCTTCTGAAATGGCGTTCTCCTACTCGTCGTCGTGTGTCAACCCTCGTTACAGGCAAGACACCGAGCTCTCTGGAACATCCGTGATCCACGTGCTCGTAATTGCGTGGCAGCCAAGGTGAGACGCTGACTGGGTTGCCATGTCACCTGGATCGAAAGGTCTCGGCGAGGTGAAGATGCAAACGGACGGTGATCGAATCAAATGAGGACGTGTATCAAAAGCAACAAGACGTGGACAGCAAACTGGCAATTGTCCACCACCAGATTGCCTGCAACAAAGCCTGTCAAGTCTACGAGAAAAAAATGTTCATATTGTGATTCAGAGCAAGCATACACGCGGAACATGAATCCAACCAGCTAAAGCACCCAGTCTACTAAAGCGTACAATGCCTGACCAAAATATTCCGTCTGCCGGAGCAGATTCACAATTATGGCTTCACTTTCACTATCCTCCAGCTTCATAGCTTCTTCCGTCATTTGCGGAGAGCTTGCCAGCCTCCGTCCGGCAGTTTGGCCGTCAAACGCTTTGCCCTCCTCAATCTCATCTTCGAGCTACCTTGTGATTACCGCATTTGCCGGTCGCCCGTCGCAAAGTACGTCAACCTCGCAAAGCGGAAACCCTTTCGCCGACCTGAAGCGAAGCTTTCCCCTTGGCAGCAGCGCGGCAGAACCATTGGACGGTCGCGATGATAGCGATTCAGATATTGGCGGCTCGGTGCGGACTACTGGGAACGCCGACGATTTTGTGATTATTCGCAAAAGTGATTCCAGCGGAAGAACAGACAGGGAATCACGAACCGCGGGTGGCGGAAGGAAGCGCGCCGAGCCGAGCCGAAGCGCACCTTCCGGAAAAAGTGGAAGCCAGCAAGGAGGAAAGACCGGGGCTTCTGCGAAGGGCGGCGGAGTAACGGTGCAGGCGACGCGCCGCGGACGTGGCGGGAAGACGGTGACGGTGGTGGAGGGGCTGCGATTGGCCGGCGGCGATGCTGAGGTGGCAGCGCTGCTGAAGAAGCTGAAAGTGGCGCTCGGGAGTGGCGGCGCGGTGAAAGACGGATGCATCGAATTGCAGGTGAGGGAGGGAGTGAAGGAGGAGTGAGGGAGTGAGTGATGAAGGGAATATGGTGTCGCCGTTCAGGGCAGCAATAGAGAGCAACAGTTTGCGACCTCTCTTGTTCCTGGCACCGTGCACTGCACAACGCTACTGGTAAAAAGAGTGGGCAAATAAAGGAGTTCTGAGAGTAATCAGAGTGTGCTAGCAGGATGCAGCGCAAGAACCTAGAACTTTACGATAATTTTAATGTGAGAACCGTGAGTTTGAGTCCAAGAAAGTTTGAGTACCCACTACTGCCTTGTGAGAAGTCCTTTTTATTATTGTCTTGTCTATGTTGTGTCACTAGAGCTAGGAGTTTCCTTGAACAGCACAAAAACCGTTGATGGTTCTTAGACACCCCCTTACCTGCCTTGCTCACCTGTGTGGTGGTGTGGTCGGGAAAACGACTCTAATATTTTCAGCAGAGATTTGTCGTGACCGGATCATGAGTTGACGGTCAGAGTTCGGATCTCGCTGGCGATAAAATGAATTCTCCGACGGAGTGGATGATCCACAACCCGTTATCCACCGAAGAGTTAGTCCCTGGTGGGCATGTCAGGCTTAACGAGGAACGGAGACCAATATGAGCCACCATTTTTTGCTTCTCTACCCTGCCATTCATTATCCTTGACCCATACGCGCGACCCCCACTCCGCCTACGCTCCGCTTTGTAAGGAGATTTTTTTTGTATAGTGTAGTCTCACCCTCATCCTCACCTGTAAGCACCATCGCCTCCTCCCTTTCTCACCCTTCCCTTTAATGCCTTCCACCCATCTTCCCATCCCCACTATCGGCTCTCCCAAACTCTTCTCGTCTTAACTCCCCTCTCCTCTCCCTCTTCGTCACTACCACTCTTCCCCCTCCTGAGCTCCCCCACACTGACCTTCCCCCCCACCCAACTGACCTCCCCCCCCCACACTGACCTCCCCCCCCAACTGACCTCCCCCCCCACACTGACCTCCCCCCCCAACTGACCTCTCCCCCCCACACTGACCTCCCCCCCCACACTGACCTCCCGCCCCTCTTCTTGCATCCCCCACACTGAACTGGAGTATGAATGGAACCATAGGCTTCTGCAGGTGCATGCATGCATGCATCCTCACTCCACTGCCTCCACAGGCTTCCTCTGCGCCACCCGATCGTCGCATGGGTCATGGCGCATGGGTCATGGCGCATGGTGCATGGGTCATGGGGCATGGTGCATGGGGCGTGGTGCATGGGTCATGGGGCGTGGTGCATGGGTCATGGGGCGTGGTGCATGGGTCATGGGGCGTGGTGCATGGGTCATGGGGCATGCTGCATGGAGTATGGCTCGCCGCATGGCATATTGCTCATGTCTCATGCCTCATGCTTTCAAGGCTCGTCAGCAATTCCTGCCCTCGCCCCCTTCTTGGTAAATCGTTCACATGGATGTTCCCTCCTTCCTGTGGTGACCAGCATTGACCTCCATTGACCTCCATTGACCTGCAATATCAAGCAGCTACCAGAATTGACTCACACTGACCCGGATTTCCATCAAAGAGTTGTTGTACCGAGACTGTGTTCGTAACGACCACCAATGCGCACACACAGGGCAGCAGAGCGCGCAGCGCACTAGAGAGTGAGTACGTGTTGGGTGCAGGCTAAGTGGCAAAGGAAGTGCTGGGTGGGAGGACTTCTGCTCAGAAGCGCACATTTGGACAAAACTCCTAGCTACAATCCCTAAGCTCCCTACAATCGCTTTACCTCCCACCCCCCCTTTTCTTGCTACCTCTCTCCCGTCCCTGCCCCCATCCCTCCCATGTGCTCTCTGCTGTGGTGGCAGGGGGACGTGGCAGAGCGAGTGGTGGAGCTGCTGGGAGGGATGGGCATTCAGGCCAAGAGGAGTGGGGGGAAGGGGAAGTAAACACACTTCCAGGTATATTCAGGGCAGCCACAGAGAGCGAATGGGGCCTCTGACACAGGGCACAGCTCAACGCTTCTGGTATGACTGGTAAACAAGAGTGGGCATAATGAGGAGTTATGAGATTTATCAGAGTGTGGCTACAGGAGATGTGCAAGAACCTCGACTAGGATAATCCTGAGGTGATGATCTTCCTTGTCCCAGCCATACAAGTCAAACATCGTGCAATCACAAGTTCGGAATTCCGACTAGGTCATTTTCAGACTTTGTTTCACGTGACCTGTTCCGAAGTTGACGGTCAGAGTTCAAATCTCGCTGGCGATGAAATGTATTCTCCGACGGAGTGGATAATCTACAGCCCGTTATCCACCGAAGAGTTAGTCCCTGGTGGGCATGTCAGGCTAACGAGGAACGGAGACCGATATGAGCCAACACCTTTTGCACAGTTACCCTGCCATGATCATTTGTTTACCCATACTTCCATTTCGAGCTCGCGCTACCGTATGCCCCTCTTTGCGAGGAGATTCTTGTGCTATGTGCTCTCTCGCCCTCATCCTCACCTGTCATAAGCATCGCGTCTCACACAGTTTTCCTTACACTGCCTACCACTAATCTTCCCATCCCCACTATAGCCTCCCAATAACTATCCCACTCCCCTCTCCCTCACTCCTCTCCCTCGCTCTCCTCTTCGTTGCCCTCCTCTCTCTGGTTCTTGCATCCATCCACTGCCTCCACAGCCATCCTTGAGCAATCGTCACATGGGTCGTGGTGCATGGTGCGTGGTGCATGGTGCATGGTGCATGGTGATGGTGCATGGCGTATGGTGCATGGCGTATGGTGCATGGTGCATGGTGATGGTGCATGGTGCATGGTGTATGGTGATGGTGCATGGTGCATGGCGTATGGTGCATGGTGCATGGTGCATGGTGCATGGGTCATGGTGCATGGTGCATGGCATATGGTGCATGGTGCATGGTGCATGGGTCGTCGCGCATGGTGCATGGTGATGGTGCATGGTGATGGTGCATGCATGTCAGGCTAACGAGGAACGGAGACCGATATGAGCCAACACCTTTTGCACAGTTACCCTGCCATGATCATTTGTTTACCCATACTTCCATTTCGAGCTCGCGCTACCGTATGCCCCTCTTTGCGAGGAGATTCTTGTGCTATGTGCTCTCTCGCCCTCATCCTCACCTGTCATAAGCATCGCGTCTCACACAGTTTTCCTTACACTGCCTACCACTAATCTTCCCATCCCCACTATAGCCTCCCAATAACTATCCCACTCCCCTCTCCCTCACTCCTCTCCCTCGCTCTCCTCTTCGTTGCCCTCCTCTCTCTGGTTCTTGCATCCATCCACTGCCTCCACAGCCATCCTTGAGCAATCGTCACATGGGTCGTGGTGCATGGTGCGTGGTGCATGGTGCATGGTGCATGGTGATGGTGCATGGCGTATGGTGCATGGCGTATGGTGCATGGTGCATGGTGATGGTGCATGGTGCATGGTGTATGGTGATGGTGCATGGTGCATGGCGTATGGTGCATGGTGCATGGTGCATGGTGCATGGGTCATGGTGCATGGTGCATGGCATATGGTGCATGGTGCATGGTGCATGGGTCGTCGCGCATGGTGCA